TCTCAGATGCTTAAAGGATGGCGGTAGGTTGGGCCACAGGGAACAGAAGAGGAAAGAGAGGAGATGACAACTAGGGACGGTAACTAGAACCCAATGCTTCACTCACACACCACAAATGCACCCCACCTTCCTCCACACATACTAGAATCTAACTTCCATGAGTGCAGAGTTAATTTTCTGTCTTTTTTGCCCACTGATAGATTTCAAATCTCAAGAAAAGTACCTGGTACATAGTAGGCACTGAATAAATATTTGTTCAATGGCTGAATAATTAAAGTTGTCACTCAGTACTTTGGTGTACTCCCTGAAGGAAAAATAAGAGTAGGTATTCATTCACTAAGCAATGGCTAATGTTGTTATAATTAGTATTCATTTTTGGGAGTTAAACATGAAATTTAGTAAACGTTGGTAGTTAAATGTACTGAGTATCACAATTTGAAAGGTTTAAAAAATTTTAAATTAAAGTACAACTACATACAATAAAATAAACATCTCTTGTGTGTTAGTTTGATGCATTTTGATAAATGTTCAAGATAAAGAACACAGTCATAAATCTAGAAAGTTTCCTATGCCCCTTCCTATTAATGACTCCCCCTCCACAAAAGCAGCTATTTTTAAAAAATATATTTTTATTGACCAGAAAGGAAGGGAGAGGGAGAACTAGAAACATCAATGATGAGAGAGAATCGTTGATAGGCTGCCTTCTGCAACACCCCACACTGGGGATCAAGCCTGTAACCCCGGTATGTGCCCTGACCAGAAATTGAACAGTGATCTTGTGGTTCATAGGCTGATGCTCAACCACTGAACCACCCTGGCCAGGCAAAAACAATCATTATTTTGCTGTCTAATCCCATAGATGAGCATTCCCTCTTCTTGACCTTCACAGAAGTGGAATCATACAGTATAATCTTCGTGTCTGGCTTCTTTTGTTCAACATAATCTTTTTTAAATTCATCCACTCTGTTATGGGAATTACTAATTCATTCCTTATTAATGAGCCACATTTCATTTTATGAATATACCATAATTTATTTATCCATTTCCTTGCTGATGGACATCTGAGTTCTTGATGTGTTGCTATTATGAATAAAGTTGCAATAAATATTCTTATACAAACATTACTTTTGGGTATACATTTACACTTCTTTGCAGCAAATACCTACGAGTGAAAAGGCTGGATCATAAGGCTTATCTACATGTTAGTTTATAAGAAACTGCTAAACACGTCTCTACTGTCGCTGAAAGTTTACATTCCCCCCAGCAATCTATAAAATATTCAGTAGCTCCCTATCCTTACCAACACTTGTCATTCTTTTTCATTTTAGCCATTCAGGGTGTGTAAAGTGCTCTTTCACTAATGTCAAAGATGTTAAGCACGTTTTCATGCTTAAATCAATTTCCCACTTTTAATTGTCTTTTTTTTTTCCTTTTCATTATTGACTTAAGTTCTTTATATATTCTGGATATGAGTCCTTTGTTTAATATATATAATAAAATATATAATCTATATTATATAATAAAAGACTAATATGCAAATTGTCCCCTCGACCAGGAGTTTGACCACTCACTGTGATGTGTGCTAACTACTAGGGGGTGGCGTGGAACACGAAGGGCAGCAGTGATGATGTAGTGTTGGTAGCGGGCGGCAGTGGAGGCACTGCAGGCCCCAATGGGCCCTGAAGAGAGCAGGGCTGCGGCAGGATGGTGGAGCAGGTGAGCAGGCAGTGCCAGGCCAAGTTGGGTGTGAGCAGGGCCCCAATTGCCTCGCAGATGGCAACCAGGCAGGGGGGCAGGGCCACTGCCTGGCTACCAGGAGCTGAGGCAGCCAGACAGGGGCCAATGACTCAGATGGAGGGGGGCAGGCAGGGGCCCTGGGACCCAGGTGTTGGCCAGGGCTCAGAGGTCAGCTAGGACCTGCCCTTTCATGCCAGATGCTTGCGCTTTGCTAGTTAGCCAGGCCCAGGAACCTCACCTGTGCATGAATTTCATGCACTGGGCCTCTAGTATATATGTAAAAAAAATTTCCCAGTTTGTGGCTTTCCTTTTTCATTTAACATGAAAGTTTTAAATTTTGATGGAGGCCAATTTATTGCTTTAGCTGCATGTATATTGCTTTTTGCATTCTGCTTGCTCAGATACAAAAATATACTCATATATTTTATTCTACAAACTTTATACTTTTAGTTCTTACATTTCAGTTTGAAATTTATTTTTTAAGTTATTCTTTATGTATAGTGTGAGATCAATGCTTATTATTTTTTTCATTATGGATATTCTATTTAGTACCATTTATTAAAAACTTTCTTAGCCCCTGTTGTCAGAATTATTCACCAAAAAATTTGAATGTATATTTGTAGATCTATTTTTATTATTTCATCATTAGACAATATGTTAGTTACAGGGTTTTCATAGATAATCTTTATCAGATTGAGAGAGCTACCTTCTTTATTATGAATGGGCATTGAATTTTGCCTAATGCTTTTGCTGCATCTATTGAGATGACCATATATGTTTCTGCTTTACCAGTCTTGCATTCCTAAGGTAAATTTCAGTTATCCATGATATAGTATCCTTTTTAATATATTGCTTGATTATGACTTCTAGTATGTTGAAAAACTGTGTAGTTTGGTATTGTACCTTTTTAAAATTTCTGGTAGAATTCACAGTGAAACCATCTAAGCCAGGGTTTGTTTTTGTGTTTTGTTTTTTTTCTTGTTGTTTAAATGGGATGGTCTTTAGTAATGAATTAAATTTCTTAGCAAATTTAGAGCTACTCAGATTGTCTATTTCATTTTGTGTCAGTATTGGAAAATTGTGGGTTTTCAAGTAATTTGCCCATTTATCTACATTGACATATTTGTTACATAAAATTTTCATAATTTTAATGTTGTTCAATCAGTGTTGCTCAGTGTTTGACCATTGACCTATGAACCAAAATGTCAGGATTCAATTCCCAGTAAGTGCACATGCCCCGGTTGCAATCCCAGTGGGGAGCATGCAGGAGGCAGCCGATCAATGATTCTCTCCCATCATTGATGTTTCTATCTCTTCCTCTCCCTTTCTCTATCTGAAATAAATAAAAAATATATATATTTTAAAAAGAAAAAATAATTTTAATGTCTGTGGGATATGTAATGTCTGTAATAATATCCCCTCTTGCATTTTTAGTATTGGTTTTTAATACTTACGTTTTCCTTTTCTTGTATGATCATTCTTGCTAGGAATTACAAATCTTCTTAATCTTTTCAAAGAACTCGTTTTGGCTTTGTTAGATTATGTCTACATATTGTGCTCTACTTTGTCAATTTTTACTCTTCTACTTCATTAGTGTTTACGCTGTGTGTTTTTTTAAACATATATTTTTATTGATTTTTTACAGAGAGAAAGGGAGAGATAGAGAGTTAGGAACATTGATGAGAGAATAATCGATCAGCTGCCTCCTGCACACCCCTACCGGGGATGTGCCTGCAACCAAGGTACATGCCCTTGACCGGAATCGAACCTGGGACCTTTCAGTCCCCAAGCTGACGCTCTATCCATTGAGCCAAACCTGTTTCGGCTCCTTTTTTTTTTTTTTTTTTTTTTTTTGGCTTCTTAATGAAGAAGCTTAAATCACTGACTTTTCATTTTCCTTTTTTTATTATAAACATTTAAAGCTATGAATTTCCCTCTTAGCACATCAACTTTATTGCTCCAATTTTGATATGTTGTGTTTTCATGGTCATTCCATCAAAAATACTTTATAATGAGTTTTTGAATTATTATTGGATGCATGGATTATTTATAAGTGTGTTCCCTAATTTCCAAACATCTACTGATTTCTAGATATATTTTTGTAATTAATTTTTATTTTAATATTGTGGTGATAAAAATGCATTTTTGGATTATTTCAATCTTTTAAAATATATTTAAATTTGTCTTATATAGAATTGGTCTAACTGGTGAATTTTCCAAGTGCACTAGCAGGAATGTGTGTTTTGTAGCTGTTCTATGTAGCAGGCAAAGTCTTCCAAAGCCTCATCATTCCCTTCTGGGAATCTGTCCTTATCCCCTGCCCAATCCCGCCAAAGTCGATGCTATGGTTGTACAGTATTTTCTTCTGACCTTGTTAACTATAGTAAGGTACCCACACTACACCCGGTGTCTTCCTGATCCCCTAGAGTCTTTCAGGTTTCCACCCGATGAGCAAATTGGAGATAAAGCTGCAGAAGTATAGTTTAGGGTCATGCATTGCTTGTCAAAAAAGACGAGATAACAATATTGGCTTCCTTTTCAGTCTCTTTTATTTCATTCTTTATGTGATCTTGTGGTGACTAATTTGAGAGTTCAATTATGGGGGAGGAGGGAGCGCAACTGGGACAGATATCGTCATTGAATGCATGGCATCAATTGTAAATCCCTGTGAAATCCCCCCTCTCTGGCTCAGGACATGGTTTATAAGGTATGTGAGATGACTGTCTTCATGCACAGTTATTTTTTATAGCTAATATATATGTACTAGAAAATGTGCTTTGCAAACAATATAACCCTCCTCTTCAACCTATGCTTTATAGACGCGATACACTTAAATTTTGGAAATTAGTTGATTTAAAATAAAAGACTAAGTAAATGAAAATACAGGGGTTTCAACCATATGCTTAAATGTGTAAACATGAAACACAATTATGAAGTTTAGGCAAACTGGCGTGATCACTGCTACACAGTCAACATCTGCTACTGCAATGATGCAAACAAAATCTCACCGCCTTGAAATTGTCCTAAGTCCTTCAAGGACCCTTCCTCCTGAGGTTTGAGACCCAGCAGAGAGAGCAGCACACAATTAACACAGTGTACCCGGGGGAAGCAAACATTCCACCTTACACCATTTGGCTGCCTTGTTGCAAAGGGATGGGACGCGGAGCGGCTCAATGAGAAGCGATTTGGAAAAAGAAATAATTCGAGCCCTTGGTTTCCTAGGCTCTCATCCCTCCCCTGCTTTCAGCACACAGGACACTCACCTTTTCCCACTCTCGGTCCTTGTTCAACACAATCACCACCAGCCGGGGGTGCACCTGGTAGCCCTCCTCAGTGAAGGACAAGTCTTTGCCGTCCCATGTCACATTGACCATAAATCTAGAAAGAGGAAGAGAGAAAGACAATGTTTTTAGGGAAGAAGAAGAGATGTGTCAAACCAATGAGTGGATGCCCCCATCAGGGTAACACTGAAAAAGTGTACACACGCGATGCCATCCACATTTCCAGCAGCCTCTATCTGTGGAAAGAGCAGTATCCATGCCGGCACTGCCCCCTGACCAGGCACTCTTTTCCATGAGCCTACACTCATCCTCAGACTCCCCAATCCTGTACAGGCGTTAGTGACCGACTGTAATTAGCACATAAAAGGAGTCTTTCTGTCCTTCCAGATCCATATACCTTATTCAAATGACCTTAAAAAAGGATCAGAAAGCATGTTCTATCGTGTTTTAACAAGCTTCCCTAAAGGAAACTCAGAAACCACATGATCCACAACTTCAACGACATGATTTCCCCTCCATTCATTATTCATTCCACTAATATTTATTGAACATTTGCTACGTGCCAGGATACACCTGGTTAGTTGGGGATAAATAAGGAAACAGACATGATCACTCTCTTCATGAAGCTTCTAGTCTAAGGGGAAGTATAGGCATTAATTGGTGAATTACAAATCTATGTCAGCGTTACCATAGCAAGGTGGGTGTGCTAGGTGAAAGTGAAACAAGAGTCATCAACAAGACTTCTGTAAGGAAGTGCAACTGATCCTGAAGGGTGAGTCAGCATTAACTAGCAAAGATGTAAGCATGTTCCAGGCAAAGGGAACATCATGTGCAAAGGCCTTGTGGTAGTGCTGGGACATTCAGTATAGGGACTGAATGTAAGCCTGTGATGATGAAGCTGAGAGAGACAGGAACATGCAGGATGTGGGATGCCTGAGATGATGAATAGGGGCAAACAATGCAAAGCTTTTCGGGCCATGTTAAGGAGTCCCATCTTGTTTTAAAATAATGGAAGACAATGGAAGTTTTCATTAGGAAAGTGACATGCTCAGACGTTCTTTGTATAATATGACCTGAAGGCTGTATAGAGAATAGATTTGAAGGGGATCAGAGTGCATATTGGGGGTTTGGTTACTGTGTACTCATTAGCCACGTTAGATTGGATGTTGGCTTTGATCCGTTATGGCCCTGAAGAAAGAGAAGGAAGAGTAGGAGCAGCAACAAATAGCACCAATTGGAGGTATTTGTTGATGGATTGGATATGAGGGTGAGGGAGGTAGGTTATTAAGGACAACGCTTCACTATCTTTCTTATATAATATCCTTGCAGTCAGCTTTTGGCAGAGGTGTTTTCATTGCAGGTGGCATCTGTCTGTCTTACAACACTCCTGTCGCCACCACTCCTCAAAGCCACCTTGCCTGCAGTAAGGCTGACTCAGGTGTGGAGACAAGGTGGTCCCCAGAGGTTCACATTTTCTTGCAGCTTGAGGAAAATGTGATGTTGGCAATGACTTCCACAAAAACACACCACTAAGCAGGCACTCAATAAATAAAGTATGTTGGACTGAAGCATTCAAAGACTTCCCAGACAGACACAGCATTTCAAAGTCATAGTATTTTCTTGGTTTGTATTCTTTTGACACTAAAAGTAGACACCGTTGTAAAATATTAAAGAGGAATACTAGACTACAGAAAAATTCCAAAAACACAGATTGACCTAACTGGTCTGCCCTAGGCCCTCATGCAGCAGCCCTGACTGTTTTGTGTGTGAGGAGAATGGCAAGATAAAGAAACTGGGCAAAGTCAAAGAACAAGGACTGTGTATCTATTCAATGCACTAGATGCGCCATTTGGGGGATAGATGTGGGGTATAAGAAGTCAGTAATACTTTCAACAATAAAGACAAATTTTAAATAAATATAAAAGAAAAAAATTATGTTTTTAAAGACAAGTTAATGACATGGGAAAATGTGCAGTATTTAATGTTAATCAAGCAGAAAAGAGGATAAAGATAGGGCTTGCCAGTGTATGGAAATTTTACAGATACTTTTTATTTTCTTTTGCATATCTTTGTAGTCTCCAAAGTTATGCAAATACTTTCCATTTTTAACAAAAATACTGTTTTTAGCATAAAGCACTGCTATTTTAGAAGTAGCAGCAGAGTAATCACTATTTTAGTTGGTACATTTGAGGCATCTCAGATCATTTTCTAATAAGAACATTTATTGATTCAGCCGAAACCGGTTTGGCTCAATGGATAGAGCATGGGCTTGGGGACTGAAAGGTCCTGGGTTCGATTCCGGTCAAGGGCATGTATCTTGGTTGTGGGCATATCCCCAGTAGGGGATGTGCAAGAAGCAGCTGATCGATGACTCTCTCTCATTGATGTTTCTATCTCTCTATCTCTCTCCCTTCCTCTCTGTACAAAATCAATAAAATATATTTAAATAAATAAATAAATAAATAAATAAAGGAACCCAATTCTTTAAAAAAAAAAAAAAAACAACAACAAACATTTATTGTTTCAATAACTCTTTACTGAATATCTATTATGTGTCAGGCCTTATGGTGAGTCCTATAGATACAGAAATTAAAAAAAAACACAGTGCCTGTCTATCCTCTTACCTATAATTCAGTAAAACATATACATATACAATGATAGCACTTAGAATGTCACTTTTGTACTGATGGACAGTGTGATAAATTGTGAAAACATAGAGAATGACTCCTAACTCAATTTAAGGGATTTAGAGAGGACTTCTGGAGAATTGTGAGGAGTGAAGGGACCAAGGAGAGGCAGGAGAAAAGGATTCTGAACAGGAGAATAATCTGAATTAAGGAAAACTCAACAAAGGAGTGACACATGCTAAAGAAAATAGAGACTAGCTTAGGAAGGCAGTGGAATTTGTCTGGAGAGAATCTCTGAAGCCAGATCATAAGGGACCTTGGATGACACCCTGCGGGTTTGGATTTTGTTCAGAAGGCTGTGGGGATTCATGAAAGGTTTTAAGGGAAGGTATGATGCACTCAGATGTGTTGCCAATAGAAGCATAAGTAAAAATGCTTCTTTGCGTTTGAAGACAACTTCAACATTTTTGTTTATGGTTAAAAAACATTCATTATCTCGATAATCTGGCTGGGTTTTTGTTGTTGTCATCATTCTATCCTTTGCTGCTTCCTGGCTGTATTTGATGAACTGAATGGATGTAGTCCAGACAACACATTCAAGGAGTGTTCCGCTTCACACACCCTTACTGAGACCCATGAGAAGACAATTTGCATGGACTGGAAGTTTGGTCAAGTTCCTCATTATCAGCCAGCTTTCAAAATACTAACTGGGGTCTAAATTTAGCTATCTATTTCTAAGTTAACTATTTTGTTCTTGTTCCCCATGATTATTTTTGGCTCTATCACATTATCTGGCACACCACTGAGCACAGCGAATGTTTGGTGGTAAGAGTGTGTTGACAGATCATCACCAGAAGTGCCATCCATCCATCCATCCATCCATTCATGACCATCAATCCCTCAATGCATTCATCCACACATCTTATAGACATTTTGTATACCTACTATTTGTCACATCCATACCCAAAACCTATTGGTAGGAAAATAGTACAAAAATAAGCAAATATGCAAGGTGTCCCAAAAACATATATACACACTTGAACCCTGAGAGCTTAATTGATGTTTCTTTCTTTTCAGCCAGACTAATCTTTGAACAAAGGAAATTCATCCTAAAATGCCACCGGAAGTTTGAAACTCAGCTGAAGTACAAACACACATTTTATAATTATTCAAAGCTAAAAACTCACTTAATTTTCATTCCTCTTAAGGTTTAACTGATTTGAACTAATGGGTGAAGCCAGACTAAGCTTTGAACAAAAGAAATTTATCCACTAGATTTTTTATGAGCATGCACAAAATATAAAGTTTACAATACAAAACTGAAAACAGTTGACAAATTAAGGGCACACAAATACCAAATGCAATGATTCTTGACATTTGTGATTCCATTGCTTTGTGTTATCAGCACTGACTGGACCAGAATGACCATCGGTGTTGAAAAAAAATTTATTTCTGTAGATTCTTTTAAATTTTGAAAATGAACTGTATGTTAATAAACACTAACTTTATTACCATTCAAAGTGTGTATACATTTTTAGGAACACCCCATATATCTGCAACAAATAACTGCAATAAAGAACAGTAAGTGTAGCTCTGGCCAGTATGGCTCAGTTGGTTGAAGCATCATTTTATGCACCAAAAGTGGTGAGCTCAATTCCTGGTCAGGCAGGGTTTTGGGTTAGTTGGACCATGTGCAGAAAGCAATTGATTGATGGATCTCTCTCTCTCTTTCTCTCTCTCTCTCTTTCACACACACACACACACACACACACACACACACTTTCTCTCCTATCTAAAATCAATTTTAAGATGAGAAGCAAGTGTAAAATTAATAGATATGTACTAAGTAGATTAGAAAAGAATATAAGGAATAGAGTGGCCAATTCTATTGTGGAGGCCGGGCTGATATCAGGAAACAGATTGGCAGATGTTTGGGTTGTATCGGGAAGAAGAGCAAGGGCTGGCCAGGTAAATGGCAAGGGGAAAGAAAGGAGATGCACTGCATGGAGAAACTGCAAAGTCAAAGGCAGAGTACCATGAAACAGAACTGAACTCTATTCATGGAATTTCAGCATAATATTCAGACAAAGACCACCAGCGTCCTTTCAAAGGCCACAGAACCATAAAACAGGATGGAACTCTGTTCATGGAATTTCTACATAAAGACTCAGAGGAAGACAACTGATGTCCTTTACCTGAACTAGAGAAAATCTTTTACCAAGCCACTTTGTAGCTGCTCCCAAACTCAGAGTTAGGCCAGCTAATTCACTGACTTTCTTTTTTATTTTAATTGAATCCAATATGCTCCAAGCCAGGTGTTGCTTATTCAACACTTTGAGATAAATAGTGTTCAGGTTGGATCTACCGAATGCCCTCATTAGGGTGAAACTGAAAAACTTTTCAATCATCAAGAAGTTTGAAAATATTCCATATGCTATCTGTTTGGAAAGGGCAGACCAGAAACAAATGT